TTCAGTTTTGGGCCCCTCACAAGAAGGACGTTGAGGGCCCTGCCTCCGCCCACCCTTTCGAACCTCTCCAGGAGATACCGGTGCCACCGGAGCTGGGGGATGCTCAGGATGGGATCTACCTGCTCGTGGTACTCTTGATGTCCTGGAGAAGGGAACCACAGCAGACCCCGTGCCCGGCCCCACGTGGGGATTGCTGTGGGGCAGAGCCACCCCACAGCAGTGCAGGAACCACCGGGGCCAGGACACATCCCAGAGCCTGTCCCCCACCGTCCCACAATTCCAACATGCCCTTGATGCTGGGATCCACAGGAATTCAGACTCATCACAACCCTCCCCGGCTGCAGGAGCACCCCAAGGCCACCCCACCCGCAGGCACGTCCCCTCCAGCTCCACGATCAGGGTGGGCTCCAGCTCTCCAGCCCCAGCTTCACCAGGTCCTCCAGCTTCTGGTTGGGGTGCAGGTGGCTCCCCAGGACCACGTTCCCTCTGTACACGCTCAACCTTGGATGCAGCTCGGCATCGTACCCGCTCAGGACAACGCCAGGACCAGCCGGAGATGTGGGGCAGAGGAGCCATGGGGGTCCCCCCATTTCTCCCCCAGCTTTCCCAACCGTGAGCGACCAAATCACGATCCTCCAACTCCCGGAAACCCAGTTCCACTTTATTGCACCTCGTTTTAAAGCGGGTACCAGAAAGCAGCTGTCACAAGCCCAGCCAAATTCATCGCGGTGTATTTTGAAGGCGGCAGCGTAAAAATCAGACGAGAGACAGCGAGCACGAGGGGGGAAATTGGGGAAGGAAATGTGTGTTTGGAAAACGCTGCATCCGATAAAAGCAGATGATCCGAAGGGACCGAACCTTGGGGGGACGGAGACCCCCTGGTTTGCGGATGGGCCTTCTCTTAAAATACTTAAATGTTTTTGAAGGTGGGAAGCTAAAAAGAGGCTTTTTAGCCTCTAAAGGAGGACCTAGATGTTCTCCTCCAGCGCGTTCCCAATGCAGGAGCCAAGCTGAGCAGTCCCCAAACCCCACGGCCCTCCATCCCACGGGGGCATCACCATCCCTGCAGCCACCGCCGTCCCCCGGCGCCCTGCCGCGACCCACCGCCGGTCCTGAGAACATCTTCTGCCATGAAGTGTCTTTGGAGGAAGGGTGAAAATTAGGCTGAAATGCATTTCTGGGATGGATGGGGCGTGGAAGGGGGTATCCGTCCATCCATCCATCCATCCATCCATCCATCGCTGAGGTGGGCACCCAAAGGCACCTTGAAGGGGTTGGGTAAAAAAGTCACTGACTGGGACCCACCAGCAGCTCCTGGCGGAGATGCGTCCGCAGATGCTTCATGAGGGAAGAGCTGGACATGAAGCACTTGGTGCATTTGGTGCATTTATAAGGTTTCTCCCCGGTGTGGATCCTTCGATGGATGATGAGGGTGGAGCTGGCCCGAAAGCTCTTCTCGCAGTAGGAGCACCGGTAGGGTTTCTCACCCGTATGGATACGCTGGTGCCTACGGAGAGTGGTGCTCTCCCGAAAAGCTTTCCCGCAGTCGGAGCAGACGTAGGGCCTGGGACCTACGTGGCTTTTCTGGTGGAGGAGGAGGGCTGAGTGGACGGTGAAGCCGATCCCGCAGTCGGAACACTGATAGGGTTTCTCCACCAAGTGTTTTTTCCGGTGACGCTTAAAAGCTGAGCTTTCAAAGAAGGCTTCCCCGCAGTCGGAGCACGGATACGGGGGTTGGCCCCGGTGGGTCCTGAGGTGGGCTACGAAGGCTGAGTTTTTTGGGAAGGTTTCCCCGCACTCGGGACACTTATAGGTCCCCTCCTCCATGTGACTCTTGCGATGCTTGCTGAGCGATTTGTTGGCCATGAAGCTTTTCCCGCAGTCGGGGCACTCGTAGGGTCTCTCCCCCGTGTGTATCCGACGATGGATGATGAGGGTGGACTTGGAAGTGAGTTTTTTCCCGCAGTCGGGACAAACGAAGATCGCGCCTTCCGTGTGGCTCTTCCCTGAGCGATTTGTTGGCCATGAAGCTTTTCCCGCAGTCGGGGCACTCGTAGGGTCTCTCCCCGGTGTGTATCCGCCGGTGGATGATAAGAGCTGAGTTGGAAGTGAGGTTTTTCCCGCAGTCGGAGCAGCGGTACGCCCCGTTCTCCAGGTGAAGCTTGCGATGTTTTTTGAGAGATTTGGTGGAAGCGAAGCGTTTCTCGCAGCTGGGGCATTTGTAGGGTTTCTCCTGGCAGTGGGTCTTCTGATGGTCCTTCAGGGTGGAGCTGCACGAGAAACTTCTCCGGCAGTTGGAGCAGGTGAAGGGTTTCTCCCCGACATGGACCCTCTGATGCCGGTTGAGGGACGAACCGCGGCTGAAGCTCTTCCCACACTTGCTGCAGGCGTGCTTGTGCTGCCCCAGCCGGATTCCTGAGGGGCTCTTGGCATGAGGTTTCCTCCCGTTGTGGCTGGAAGAAGCCGATCTCCTTCCCGAGTGGTTCTTGTGGTGATCATAACCCGGGGAGATGCCGCCTTTGGGTTTCCTCGCCGACCCACCGTGCAGCTCTCCGTCTTCCTCCTGGGAACTGTCCTCCTCCGTCTCGCTGGTCCACCCATCGTCTGCCGGGAAAAGGAAATAAAATTAAAAAAAGAAAGGGAATCCACCTCTACCTCCATCCTGAACGTGCCGGGGAAGGAGCTTGAGGAGGGATGGAGAGAAGCACCGCAAAAGAAGCAGCAGCATCCTTCTGCCAGGAGAAGTGTTTGGTATCTCTGGCTGCCGATGCCCAAATGGGTCCTCGCACCCCTCTAACCCCCTCCTCCCAGTTACACCAGTTTCCAGTAGGATCTTGCTTGCTGGAGGCAAGGAGCGATGCCTGGCATCTCCGTTTTGGGGTGAAAAACAAGTCTCTGACCTGAGTGAGAGGAGTTGGAGCCGGAGGAGCTCCCGGCATCTCGGCAGCTTCTCCACCGTTTCCTTTTCCTTGTCCACAACCTCAAGAGGGGTCTGGCCAGTTCCTCCTCCTCCTCCTCGTCTGAGCTCTGGATGTCGGGGATCCAAACCTCCTCCCCTTGCTCCAGCCGAGCGAGCAGGTCGGGGTTATACACGGGGAAGCCTGCTCAGGTAGACAGCGGTGGGTTACTGGGTAGATAACAACCGTCTGTGATGCCTCGTTACAGGAGACAGAGACCTTAAAACTCTTCTAAAGAGAAAGAAAATCCCGGTGCTCAGGTCTCCCAGGAGGGATGTCCCAGCAGGGTTTGCTGAGGGCATCTACAAGAGCTTTCCAGGTGATGGAGAAGGCATCCCAGGGAATAAGAAGCTTGAACCAGAGAGGAATCAGCCCCGAGACCGCTTTTCACGAAGACCAGCGAGATCAAGAGCAGTTGAGAAAGGCAGAGATTGTCCATCTTGGAAAGACTCAGGGAATATCAAGCAGGAGGTAAAGGAAGGTTGGAAAAATCCAGGAGTGAAACCAGGCGTGCCAGCTGCCTTGGACGCACCTCACCCGAGTGACCTGCTCCCTGACTGTACTTTGAGAAATATCTTCGTTAGGGGGACGGTGGACAAGCCACGCTCCCAAATTAAGGAGTTGCATCCTGGTAAATCAGACACTTGGGTCCGTTGAACGTCTACTCCAAGAGCAGGACGAAGGAGCACGTGAAGGAAGAGACGATGCTCGAGGACCGAGCTGCGCGTGAAAGCGTGACTTTTAGCCGCTATTTTAGTGCCCTCCAAGGTTGAATCGTTGCCGTTAATTATTTCTTAGCTGGAGCAGCTCAACGTGCCCCAGGACGGCACGGTCTTCTCATGGGCATCATCTAGAAAATCAGCAGTAACCTGAAAGGTTAAGCTGAAGAAAGGGTAAGGACTGATGCTACCCAGTCCCAAAATTAAATCCGATTAGAAAAGAGCAAGAAGGACCATTAAAAAAAAAAATGGGAGACCTGTGGTAGGGGAGATTAAGTTCATCTCGATTCACCTTATGATCAAGCAACTCTAGAAGCCGTGTGAACCAGACCCCAACGCCTTCCTCACCCACCCAAGCGCCCTAAAAAGTCAACGCCAGTCAACGTTCCGTCTTGCCCGCTCCCCTCCTGGACCCACAACTCATGTCTCACGGCTGGAGGAGACCTGGGGACTTCTCCATCCCCCGACGTGTCCCTTTTCAGGTGACCAGGAGCTGTCAGGAGAGGGCACTGTGAGCCCGAAGGAGCCCCAGCTCCCAGGCAGGACATCCCTCCAGCAGATTGCCTCCCGTATTTGAACTCGTTTCTGGCAGTTTTAGTCACGGTGTAGGTGGGAGAAGAGCATCCGCCTGCCCAGGTTGGGATGCTTGGAGGACCTCAACGGGTGTCTGAGGGACTTGGGCGTTGAGGAGAGCACCCAGTGATCCCATCCATCTCCTTTTGAGGATGAAGACAGGGCTTAGGCGTTTAAACCAAGTTCTCAGCTAAGTTTCTTGGACAGCATTAATTAAAAAGACCTAATTAAAAAGCACAGAGTAAGGCAAGGAAGCTCCATGAGCTGCCTCCCAGAGCAGAACAAGGGAAACCCAACAAGATTTAGGGTTGGTCCCACCATGCCCATGACCAGAGGCATCACCTTCATCTTTCCCGGTGTCCACATCCCCGGGGAAAATGAGATTTATCCCAGGGATTGAGGTGGGAAGAGCAAACACAAGCAATTATCTCGGGCGTCCCAAATGGGATGAAACCTGGAAGCCCACCCCGGCTCTCCGACACAAGACGGGCCACCCACAAAACAAGAAAAATGAGGAGAAAAAGCAGGATTTCTTTTAAAAGGAGCCTCGTTGGTCAAAACCAGGAGCTCCCGGGGAAGGCACCCGGGGAACGGCAGTGCCGGGAGAGAGGTTGGTGGGGCGGGAGGGGGCCTCCTGCCCCCACGGCCCAGGAAAAGCCACCGGGGAGGCCACCAAGGTGCCCCAAGGACTGGGGGGGGGCCGGGGGGTCCCTACCTGCTG